ATATGCAGAATGTGTGTGTTACTTCTGGGAAATCTTCTCAACAGGAATGCAACACCTCTCCTTTCTACTCCCTGCTGAAAGGAATATATGTTAAATGGCTGGAGCTCCTGAAGCCATCTTGGACCATTAATTGAACTTGGGAATGGACACCTCACATGGCAGAATAATAGCATAAGAGGAGCCTGGGTTCTTGATATCTATTGCAGTCCTGGACTACCAGTCTCCTAGACTTCTTGTAGCCTCCATTGTTTAAGTCTTCTGTAATTGCAACCAAACCTATGTGTATCCATACAGAGATTAAAGAGATCGTTTTAATACAATATTCTTACCTTAAAAACTAAACTCCTTAACCAAATATTTTCTCTTTTGGTAGTGACCAAGAAGACGAAATGGCAAAAGCACTCCTTACCTTTGGTCCTTTGGTAGGGATAGTAGATGCAGTGAGCTGGCAAGATTACCTGGGAGGGATAATACAGCATCACTGCTCTAGTGGAGAAGCAAATCATGCTATTATCATAACTGGGTTTGATAAAACAGGTAAGTGCTGATAAGACTTGATTGATTGCTTTTCAGCTTAAGGTGATTGACAAATCACCTTAAGCATATAAAAAGTTAAAATGTGGTCATATATCTAAGTCCTCCTAAGACCTTTACTACTTTTCAGTAGACTTCTGGGTATAAATAACCCCATTGTGTTCCTCCTTATCAATTTTGGTGGATAACTTGTTAGAATGATGATAATTACTGATTTAAATAATGTGCATTTTCCATCTGAAGTATTTAGGATAATTGTTGGGAAAATAGAAGTGCCTATTGTTTTATCATACATATCTAACAATTATTCTTCCCTGTTTCTAATGCCCTGGAAATGTGTGTGTGTTTTCATTCTGTGCAAGTTCCGTATTAAGTGAAATGAATTCAAACATTTTTTTTCCAATAATTGGAGTGTGGCACTAAGTACAGTTCAAGTTTACTTAGCTAGCTTAAGTTAGCATTCTATTACAGTTTTAATCATTTTGTTAAAGCTACTAACACTGATCACGAAATAAAGTAAACATGCATTCACGCAAATATGAGTTTTTCGGGGTTTGTTGCCAATTTTTGTTTTGCAGGAACTACTCCATATTGGATTGTACGGAACTCATGGGGAAGTTCCTGGGGAGTGGATGGCTATGCCCATGTGAAAATGGGAAGTAATATTTGCGGTGAGTCATGAATTTGTGTTTAAAGCTCCAGCCTAAGTGTCAAGGAAGATATTCTGAATATATTAAAATTATAAACCTGTCCAATCCATAGTATGTTTCCAACATACTCACATCACTTAATAATTGATAAAAATAGAATAGTTTTTTAAAGAAGAGACACTATTGCACATATTCATGCTTTAAAAAGGAAGAAAGACTGTAGTAAAAACAAATATAATAAGCAAAACATAATAAGATAAACTAATAATTTACCAAAGTTAACTACTTCAAAATCCAGAGGCTTTTGGATTTAAAAATACTCAACTTAGGAGGCTGAAGTTCTCCAAAAAGTCCCCTCGTTCCAATTTTACTTGTTATAACTGTATGAGTTTTTCTTAATTTGTGCATTAATAATACTTGCACAAAGATTGTCAAGCATCACTTTTT